TATCTCCCAGTCTGTGACTTGCCTTTCATTTTTAAATGCATTGTTGGTATTAGTGAATAGTTCTTTGAAGAAAATTGCCCTTGAAATAGTCAACAGTGTGTAGGAGAAAGCTTATGACATAATGTTGGATTCAAAAAAGAGGATATAAAATTGTATTTGCAGTTATGAGTGTAACTATTTTAAAATATGCAGTGAAAAAAAACCTGGAAAGAAATTTATAAAACTCTGTTTTGATTAATTTTGAGCAGTGAGGTCATGCTCTTCTGCAATTTTTTTATTGTGGCAAAATATAGATAATTTGAAATCTACTGTTTTTCTTTCAATAATAAACTATTTAGCAACATTAAGTAAGCATTAAATTTGTGTAAACATCACCATTATCTAATTGTAGAATTTCCTCATTCCCCCAAATGGAAACCCTGTGCCCATTATGCAATCTCTCCATTCCCTCTCCTCACGAGCCCCTGACAACCACAGCCATGCTTTTTGACTGTGTTCTCTTGCTATTTACTAAATAGAAACTTTTTTCTAGATTTTGCTAACAATTATATGTTTTGATGAGCAAAATAAAGCAAACATCAAGAGCAGCAAAGAATGTCTTCTGAAGAGAGAACAAAGAAGGGATGTGTGACACTGAGTGCCAGGCGCACGTCAGAGGCAGTGAGGAGCCAGGAGAATTCACGTTGTGATGCTAAGCTAACGTGGCTCCCTTGAATGGACCTCACAACCACACTAGCAGGAAGGTTCAGGATCATGTCCAATGGGACAAACGATGTTGAGTCTCTTCCCTACATCGCAGTAAAGCTGTTTCTGTCTTCTCCACTACACTGGGACAACTCCATGAGGGCAGAGATCATGTTGATGTTGGTCTCCAAAATATTTCTGCCCTCCACCATGGCTCTAACTCATCCATGTGGTCCTTGAGAGCCATACAGTGAACGAATGCATATGTGTGAGAAAAACTCCCTCTGCCACAATTCCTAGCTGATACCTCGTCGTTGCTTCCTACTCACTGCATTGTGGAACTACCCTGTTGAGTGCACCTGGCCACACCCAAGAAGGGACAGTGCTAGCACACTAGAGCAAAAAAGGATCAGATAATCAGACGGGTCTCTCAGTGTAGCCTGGAAGCCAAAGACCGGCTCGGCGGAAGTGTGAGCCCAACAACCCAATCTAGAGCTGTGAGAAAATATCTGAATGGTAGATTCATTAAATCTCCCATAGCTTTAATGACCAGGGTGGGAAAAGAAAAGTAATAACAAGTGACATTTATACAGTGTGTTATAGTTTACATAGCTCTTGCATGCACATTACCTCATTTAATCCGGAAGAAGCATAGGGTGGGGCTGAAGCCTGTGGCCCCAGAGTTTGCCTGAGTTTGCATCCTGACTGCACTACTCACTATGTGACCCTGGAATATTTACGCATCCGTGTTCCAATTTCCTGATGTGTACAATGAAGGTACTGATAGTAACGGCTGCAGAGACTTGTTGTGATGATGAAATAAGGTAATGCCTGTAAAGCTCTTAGAATAGTGCCTGGAGCGTAGTAAACACTAAATAAAAGTTGACTCTTATTACTTAATCCTCTCAATAGGCCCAGGAGACATGTAGGCATACCCTAGTTTATGAGCAAGCAGAGTGGGGCTCAGAAATATGGTGTGACCTGTTTGAGGTCACATGGTAGGGAAGTAGGAATGAAGGGACAGGGCTAGGATGAAGTCTGTTTGACCCCAAAGCCCTATCCTTTTGGAGTTCTGCATGCCAGCTCCTCCAACGGGCACTTGGCCTAGGCTCAAAGGCAGGAGAGGTTTGATTCTAGGGTAGGAGGCCTATACACCATGGCATTAAAAAAAAAAAAAAAAAGACCACTTGTCTAGATAAGTTCAGATCCAGATGAGGTAACAGCTGAGAAAGCACTTTACATTCCACTGGAATATGATGGAAGAGTAAGGAATGGCTGCATTGCTTAATGACAGACTTTTTGAGAAATGCATTGTTAGTTGATTTCATCCTGGTGTGAACACAGTGTGCACTTACACATGCTTTAGATCTGGGTCAGCCACTCCACATGGCCTCTTAATGAGATGGATAACGCAATCTATTCACTCATTCACTTTAGCGTTTTGCAGTAAATTATTTTTGTTACAAGCAGAAAGCATACATTCTAAAATGACAATGACAAATATAATATCACAAAGACATGAGCCACTGACATAGTCATTTGTTGTCATTATTAATCATGTCCTGTACATTGTAGTATGTGCTATACTTTTATGCAATGGCAGTGAAATAGGTTTGTTTCAATTAGCATGACCACAAACAGGTGAGTAGCTCATGGCATTAAGAACCTACAATATCACTAAGGATAGGAATTTAGCTCTATTATAATCTTGTGCAACCACTATGGGTACATATATATGATCCATCATTAACCTAAACATTGTAATACAGCACATGACTGTGTTTAAAATTGTTTTCCTAGCGCTCATTCCCCAATCTAGTAAATCTACTCTGAGTCCCTTAGAAGAACTACCGTGATTAGGCAGAGCTGCTTTTGGCCTTGGCCAGAGAATGCTGTGGGGTACAGGTATAGCCAGTCAGAGTGTCAGGTGCCCTCACCCTGAGGATTAGCCCAGGGAGGGGCATGAGATGCAGTGGGAGAGGGTTGTAGGTCATGGTGACTAGGGGAGAGACAGTCCCCTTCTTCTGGGAAGGCTCAGAGACTATAGGACAGCCTAGAAGTGCTCCTGAAGTCCTCTTGCCACCATGAAAAAAAGATCTCAAGCAGTGGAGACAACTTGCCTGAAGAGGTAGCCAACCTAGAGGCAAGCTGAGATAGGTGAAAGACAAAGCCCAGTGTCCTTTGAATATAACTGTGCCTGGAACTCAGACTACCTAGACTTTTCTATTATGCTCCCTTTTACTAAGCACATGCTAGGTTTCTGTCCCTGAGCATTATAAATATTATGTCCTTTAAATTTCTAACAGCTGCTCAAAGGAGGTAGCAGTAGCCCCATATGACAGAGGGGGAAACTGAGGTTCTAAGGTCTCAAGGGACTTGGCCAAGTCCCTTAGACGGGTGAGTCTAGATCCTTTTTGCTGAGGCACAAGCATTCTGATGAGAAGGCCAGCCTTAGTGTGTGAATGAAGCTCTTGTCTTCTGTCTTTTCCTGCCTTCAGGCGGGGGATGCATTTCCTCATGTAAATGTCACAACAGAAGGGATTCCGTGCCCCGGGAAGGCGACTTCCTTGGCTCCATCCCTCATCACACCCAATTGTCTTTCTGACAGCCAGATTGGAACCAAATTGGATTAGTACATTTCACAATTTTGTTGAACAAATTTGTGGATTAAGGGAACAAATTAAATCCACATTTTTTATTTGGCACCATCAAAATATGACATGCAGACTGGAAATGGACATTCCTGGTCTTGAATAGATTCAGTGGATCTCATATCCTTATTTCCCAGAATTATTTTTTTTTCCAGGAGGATTCTCACAAAGACCCCTGGGAATCCTGACTCCAAATCTTATCTGAAATTTAGAGTCTGGTCCTTAGGTCAAGTCTGAGAGCTGCGGCATCCATACCTGAGATCTAAAATGGCCCTAAAGCCACGTGTATTTGGAAGGTGATTAAATTATAGGGGCACTACAGCTGACGTGCTGTTAGAAAGTGGGGTCTGGTTAGAGGTGAGTCACTGGGGTGTGATGTGGAAGAGTGTATCTCCCTCCCTGGCTCTTCTCTTCTCTCTCTGCTTTCTGGCCACCATGACGTGTGCCCTTTCACTCTGCAGCAGGCCCTTCTACCATGCTGTTTTCTGTGTGAGCCTCCCAAACATGGACTGAAACTTCTAAAAACTGTGAACCTAAATAAACCTGAGGTTGCAGGCCTCAGGCATTTTCTCACTACAGAAATTACTACGACACGTGCCCCCATCCTGTCATTCTTATCTCTGGTTTTCTTACAAATTTCCATTGGCTAAACCGGGCTTATGTTTCAGTATGGTGCATCTATAGCTGGGCTAACAGGTTTGGCAAGCTAATGCCAACTCCAACATCCCACTCTCTCGTTGAGCTGTTAGGCCAATAAATATTTATGTAGCTCATTGGTAATTAATTAGACACCTTTGGCATGCTGTCCAGTAACTTGTATATCAATGTAATCCCCTATCTTTGTGTTTGGCTTCCCTTTAGGAAGATGCGTTCTTAGTGGACAGAGAACCTGATTTCTCCTTCTCTATATATGTACCATGCATGTAGTAACACACAATGGATATGTATATCCTTGTAAATTTAATTGGCATGTGGTTACTTAAAAATAAAAAGAGAGCATTTTAAGAGAGAAAAGAAATCATCTTGGCTGGGCTTAATGGAAAGGAGGCAGAGAAGAGCACTGATTTAGTGTGAAGGCTGTGATGCCAGACAAGTTTGAATCCCGACTTTCTTAACTGTCTAGAAGATGTTAATAATGATGTCATCTCTCTGTGCCTCAGTTTCTACTTCATCAGCTGGAAACAGCAGCAGCAATTGGCCACATCCCTACAATAGCAGTGGAATACAGGTAGCATCCTCTAGATGTCAGCTACCACAATTTATTTGTTTCTTCCCAATGAAACGTAAATTCTTGAAAAGTGCATGTGCTGATGCATAAATGAACTTTATCTTACTCAATTTTTGCCTAGTGTAGTATAAGGCTCTCATTTTTAAAACATAAATTATCTGAATATGTTTTTCCTTATATCATACAAGTTAAAGGAATAAAAAAGAAGCTGACCAAAACTAAGCAAGCAAGCAAACAAACAAACCTGGAATAAACAAGTGCTAGCCAAATAGAAGAGCCTGACTATAAGGAAGGTTGACTAATGTATCTATTAAGTAAGAGAGAGGGAAGAATATCATCAATTAAAATTAATTAAAAAGTTTAATTATATATGATGCTGACCTCATGCTTCAGGAGCCTGAAACAAAGAAATACGGGTAGTCATGATATTTCCCCCATTTATCACTTTCACCTTAACAAGAACAAGCTTGTCCCTTCCATTGTTGTGGGTACCCGGTCATGACCTGAGATGATGGGTTAGCTCCTTCTCTGCTGAAAAGGAGAAGTCCCAAGGCCTGGCAAACAGCTTTCCATACCCATCTCCATCAGAGATTGTGTATTAGCATGTCTTGTTGATGATCCCTTTTCTTCAGCCTCAGCTACTGCCCGGTCTCAGTTTCCCATCTGGAAATGCAATTCAAGTAGCCCAATCAATTCTCCTTGCCCCTTTGGACTATAGAAATTCTGCCATTGTAGAGAATGAATCTGTCCAAGAAAAGGACGAAATCCTTCTTCACAAAACTTTTAAGTTGGACAGCATGAGTCTAATACATCTTGTTCTACTCATCCCCACTACAACAGGATGACCACTGTTCCACTCAAAGGTGCAGTGTCATGGGTTGACTGTTGTATCTCCCATATCAGTCAGACCCATATACATTCTGTGCAATTTTCAGACTACCCTCATGTGCTGGTAAATTACACTGGATTCTTTCCAGTTACTTCTCTTGAAATTAATCTTCATTTCAGACAGCCTGGCCTGTGGAGGGTTGCTGCATGTACTGATAAAACAACACAATCCAGCTATAGCCTTAAAGGCCTGAGTCATGTGGGAGCTGCCAGTCATTGGGGACGTACTTGTGTGCAGGCACCTTATGTTTTCCTGAGTGGGTCCACTAATATTACCAACAACACTAATGATACTTTTAATGTACTTGTACCAACTGCAATCTTACTTACTAACTGTGCTACTCATCTCAATATGCTGCCCATTATTGTGTTGCATCATCCCTCTTTTGTCAAGGAATAAGGCACCAGGATCTGACGGGCCTCCCTTATCCTTTACCATTTGTTGAGCATCTTCTGTTAATTTCTTGATTGACCCCACATGGGATAGGTTGCTGCTCATGTTTGGTGTGATGGAGGAGCTTGACATGGCGTCTTCATTTGGGGTGACAACATCGACCTTTTGAATGGTGGACTCAGCTGTTTCTCCGGGGTTGACGCCATCACACAGCCACACCAGTTGGCTTGGCGTTCACACAGGGTGATCAACAGCAGCTGAAAAGACACTAATGACAAATTCTCTTCCCCACAGGATGACAGGGCTTGGTCCATACCACTGACCAGAGGCTGGGTCCTTCCAGTGAGCAGATTTATGCTTTGATTGGTGACTAGAAACAAAGTAATGCTCTATGGACATAAGGTTGTTCATTGATATTTTAAAAATTTAAGACATATAATGTCAGATTGATTATAGTAGAGGGTACAGGCTTATAAGAAGTAGGGAGTACTCCCTGCTTTTGTTTGTGTAACATAGTTTTAAGGGTGAAATTGGCACATTCAATGATTGCTTGACCTGGAAGGTTATAAGGAATACTGTAGAGAGAGAAATGCAAACGTTTGTACAAAAGAGTCTAAAAGGAGCACTAGTGGAAGCAGGATCATTGCCAGTTTTTTTTCAGCTTTAATTGAGTTTATTGGTACATTTTAGGGATACAGTACAGTTACATTCATTGTTGGGATCTTGTACCTCTACATGACAAGTCTTGATTCTTATTTTTTCCCCTTACCCCTGCCCTCCCTTCACCCCCTCCTCCCCTCCCCATCTACAAACACTTTATTTCCATCTTTTCATTATCTCACATTTTTTTCTTTCCCCTTATTACCCTTCCCCTACCCATCTCACCTTCCCTACACCTTTAGCTCCTTTCTTCCCATTTCTAAATGTCAGTAATCTTATTAGAATCTTACATATTATTGCAGATTATTCACACCAGAGAAACTATTTGGTATTTACACATGTGTGACTTATTTATCTCACTTAGGAGTATATCTTCAATATGTATCCATTTTCCTATGAATGAATCTATTTTCTCGTTCTTTATGGCTGAGTAATATTCCATTTTCTAGAAAAACCACATCTTCTTTATCTAGTTTCCAACAGATGGGCAAATGGGCTGTTTCCAAGTTTTAGCTATTACAAACTGTGCCGCCATAAACATAGGTGTGCATATATCACTGTGATATGATTCTTTTAATTCTTTTGGAAATCTTTTGGAAGGATACCCAGCAGAAGGATGGCTGGGTCAAATGGAGCCTCTAGTCCAAGCTCTTTGAGGTATCTCCGTATTGATTTCCATAGTGGTTGCACCAGTCTGCACTCCCACCAACAGTGGAGAAGGGTTCCTTTCTCCCCACAACCCCGCCAACATTTGTTATTGTGTGATTTCTTGATAGCAGCCATTCTTTGTGGGGTGAGGTGGAATCTCAGTGTTGTTTTCATCTGCATCTCTCAAATGATCAGTGATGGGGAACATTTTTTCATATATTTACTTGCTGCTTTTACTTCTTTGTCTGAGAAATGTCTGTTCACTTTGGATGCCCATTTTTGAATCAGGTCTTTATATTTGGGGGGGCTGATTGTTTTGAGTTCTTTATATATTCTTGATAATAGTCCTTTGTCTGAGAAACAGCTGGTAAAAATTTTTTCCCACATTGTAGATTGTCTCAGTTCTGCTGATGGTTTCTTTTGAAGTACAGAAGCTTTTTAGTAAGATGAGATCCAGTTGTTGATTCTATCTGCTAGTTCCTGTGCTACTGAGGATTTGTTCATAAAGTCTTTTCCTATGCCAATGTCTTCCAGAGTTCTGCCTAACTTACCTTCCAGCAAGTTTAATGTTTCTGTTTTAATATTTAGAGCTTTAATCCATTTGGATTTTAATTTAGTGCATGGTGAAAGATAAGGGTCTGATTTTAATCTGTGGCAGGTTGACATCCAGTTTTTCCAACACCATTTATTAAAGAGGCTATCTTTCCTCCACTGAGGATGGTCAGCTCCTTTGTCAAAGATGAGGTAGCTGAGTACATCTGAGTTTGTTTTTGTGTCTTCCAGTCTGTTCCACTGATCCTCAGGCCTATTTCTTTGCCAGTGCCATGCTGTTTTTATCACAGTGGCTTTGTAGTATAGTTTCAAATTGGGAATTGTTATACCTGGTACCATGTGGGGACCATTGGCAATTTTGATAGCCCTTGGACAACCAAACACCTGAAAGGCACAAAGACAGTGATCAATAACATGTCAGGCAGCCTCGCCTGGTTGAGTGGAAGCGAAGATCATGGAGGTTAGGTGTCAACAGAAACATGAACATCTGAGGTGACCAAACACAGGCACATGAGTTATGCCCATCTGCCAGAGGTCACGAGGACACAGGCCTCTAGGATTGGAACCCTGGATGGGTGATGGAAGATGAAACACGTAGGTGGAACAGGCACAAACAGTGTTGCACGCCTGTCCTCAAGAAATATGAAACTTTGCGTAGGGCGGAAGTGTTTTGGTGAAAAACACAATGTGAGGTGGTAGCCTGTTGAAGGGCAAGTGGAAGAGGCCCAGGAAGCAAAAGAGCGAGCAATAAGATTATCAACAGTGTCGTTTCCCTGGCATAATGGCCCAGGGAGGGAGGAATGTGCACAAATGTGTGAGATCAAACAAGGGTAAAAGTGGCATCTTACACTGTCCCTCAGATGATGAAAAAGCTGAAAGAGAACTTCACTGTTAGTAGAGGAAGGGGTAGCAGTTTCTGTTTTTTGGACTACGCCCACTACATAGGCACTGTCCAAGTACAAATTAAAGGCGACAGAAGCAAAATCCTCAAGCACCCAGGTTGCGGCCTGCAATTTGGCACACTGAGTAGATGTAAAGCCAGTATCCTGAGATCAATTCCCACTCGTGGAATGATATCCCTCAAATCCATTAGAGGGGCCGTCTGTGGAAATAGTAACGGCTCCTTCCAAAGGCAAATGAAAGGAGTAAGGTTTTCAAGTTGTAAAATCTTGTACAAAGGTAGATGATTGTCAATCTGCCTGGGGAAGGAGGCTAAGGCAGTCTTGCCAATCTTCAGAAAACTGCCAAAGCCATTGCTGTTGTTGTAGGGAATAAGGTATAACAAGTACATGAGGATAGCATGACAGCAACTGAAGACAGCACCATCGTCCACGGCCTATCATGGCAACCACTAAAGAGGGATACGGGGTTAGAGAGCCAGGTGGCAAGTTAGGAAGATGGATCCACTCAAGAACCCCCTAAAGCTGTCACAGTGCTCTCGTTGGTGTATGTGGAGTGGACAAGGTCACCGACCATAGAGGCTGTTCAGGGACAACATGAGTCAGGACTGCCTAATGAGTACCCTTCTCCACCTTATGAGCTGAAAGTACTAGGAGGAGAGGTGAGGCAGGTGAAGGGTCACCTTCGAGGATTTTAAATAATGGTTGTAAGTCTGCAGTCGTTAAAGATAACGACAGTCGAAGCCAGTTGATGTCTCCCAGGAGCTTTGGAAAGTCATTAAGAGTAGAAAAATGATCAGTATGAATCTGAGCAAGTTGAGGTCTTACCTGAGTACTTTCTAAAATACATCCCAAATAAGAAAAAGGCTGTGTTTTTTGGATTTTATCTGGGACTATAACCAACTCCAAGGCGGAAAGACCCACCTGCAAGGCAGAATAAAGTTCCCGGAGCAAGCACAGCTAGAGAGGCATGGACTAGGTTAGAAGAATCTCATCTATATAATAAATAATATAAGCTGCAGGAAATTGTGTCCTCGGAGGTTGTGGCCCAGTCCACATGTTCCTGACAAAGAGTGGGACTATTGGTCATGCCTTGAGCTAGGCACTTCCACGGAAATCTTTTAGTGGGGCCTTGATTATTGGGTGAAGGAAGACTAAAGGCAAACATTTATAGTTGGAAGGAAAAAGAGGTTAAAAAAACCCAAAACAGCCCTTTAATCTATAACCAATTAACGAAAGGACAAAGGAATCATGGAAGGATTTGGAAGTCCGGGCTGCAGTGCCCCATAGGCTCCGTGGTCTTATTGATTGTGTGGAGATACTGTAGGATGCACCATTTTCCTGAATTTTTATCCCAAAAATTGGAGTATTCTAAGGACTAGTGGAGGGTTCTAGATGACCTGCTCCTAACTGTTCCTCTTTAAACTGGTATGCAGCTAGCAGTTTCTCCTGTGGTAAAGGCCACTGGTCAACCCAGACCAGACCATCTGACAGCCGTGTGATGGGTTTGGCCACTGGTTGGGGTGGAGAACTGACCACTGGCTCTAGGAAAAATGTGAGTAGCCCAAACTGTGATGGTTCTGTTTGTGTCAGGGTATGACAGGTTCTTTTCTTCGCTGACCATGATGTCCCAAACCCCTGTGAGGATTAAATCCCTGATTCAACATTTGTGAAGACGCAAGAGATTTGGGACATATCAGCAGGGACACTGTAGCACTTAAGACATCCCAGCCCCACACATTTACTGGTATGTTGGGTAATATGAAAGGCTGGAAAGTGCCTCGATGGCCCAGTCCACTAACAATTTTGAACTCTTGGCTGGGTGTTGTATCCATCCAACCCCTGGTAACTGGGTACGAACTTGGTCCAGTGGCCAGCTATGTGGCCAATGTCAGAAACTAATCACTGACACATCCACCCCAGTGTCCAGTAATTCTCTAAAAGCCTTTCCGTCAATAGCGAGATTGTATTCTGGCCTTTCACCTTTTATTTTAGTGACCCAATAAGCATCAGAAGAACTAAATCCTCTTGGTCCTGTGTGATCAGTTATAATGGCCTTGTAAGCTGGGTGGCCTTCGCCACAGGCAAAAGTAACAACTGGACAATCCTAGTGCCCCTAAGGGTATGAAAAAACTGTTGGGGAGAGAAAGCCACAATTTTTATTTCTCCTGCATACTCAGCATCTATGATTCCTGGAATGACTTACTGCTACATCCCAGCAATTAATCAACAGTGCCTCCCAGCAGGGGGCCACACACTCCCATAGAGAGTGCTTGAGGACCCATGTCCAGAGTCAGTATGACCCCAGCAGTGGAACTGAGGTCCAGTCCCATGCTCCCTGGGATTGCTGTGAGATGTGTTGGAGGCTGGCCGGAATGGCTGAGGTAGAATAGGTGAGTGTGCCCCCACTGTTGGACGGGGGCGGGGATGGCCCAGCTGGGCGTTTCCCAGAACCTGATGGCCGTCAGCATCTGTTTTAGACTTGCATTTGTCTAGCATCTGTCTTAGAGAAGCATTTTGGGCACAAGGAGGTAGGCTTTATGCCTCTCAAGGGAAATCCACCATTGTTTCTCACCAGTTCCGTCAAGGTACGTGGTGACTGGCCCTTTTTTCTACAGTGTCTAGCCGTGTGGCCCTTCTTTCCACAAATAAAACAAGCCCCATCCTTTTTTGTCTGAGGCTATAAAAAGGCTGCCAAGGTGGCCCCCTGCACATAGCAGCGACCTATATCAGCCCACAGTCTAATCATATTCTCTAGTGGGGCTTGTTTTTTGTGAGGGCATATAGCCTCCTTAACCCATTTATTTGCATTTTCAAAAGCCAATTGTTTACTACTTGTCCTGCTTCCTGATGATATATAATGCCAGAGAGGCTACCTGTAAAAGTTGACTCACAAAATTTTGGAAAGGCTCATCAGGCCCCTGTCTGATAGCAGTTATATCCATGGTTTTCTCCCTTTTGATGGGATTGCTCTCCAAGTTCGCAGGGCCATGAGCTGAATCTGATCATAAGCTGGATGGACATAAGTCAGACCCCCTGATTGCCCTCTCCAGTGAGCCTGTCCATAGTAATGGGAATGGTGTGCTGCCTGCCAGTTGCATGTGGCTTGTTCTGTGCACTGCTCAACGCAGGCTTCCACAACAAATAATCACCTGAGACAAGCAAGCCTTGGCCAGGGCTTTCTAATTATCTGAGGGCATAGCTACAGAGGCTACCTTCTCAGCCATCCCATAGTAAAAGGAGCCGTGGGCTCATAGGCAACAGTAGCCATTTCTGGCTCCTTTAAAGTTTTAAAAGGAATGGGCTCATGCCTAAGCATCTGTCCTGGATTATTTGGGTCAGGGAACCTCTATAATGGGGTATATTCCAGGCCTCAAACTTTCCAAGGCTTCCCCATGAGTATGAGCTTGTTCAAGTGTCATCTGTAGGGGGAAGAGTTGATACACAGCCAATGCAGAAGTGGACATCTGTGGCACAGCCAAATTCCCTTTAATGAAGTACAGCTGGCTGCTTTCTATTTTGCCCAAGATAGTGTGACTGCTCTAGATTTCACTTGCTGTGGTGCAGAAATGGAAAGAGCAGTCAGAGCTGCAAGCCTGGACATGATCGCTACATCTGAATCTGCCTGTCTCTGGGGCCCTCTGAGAAGCAATCTGAAAACTCAGAGGAGGGCACCTCGGTTGGAGCCAAGGGCTTCACTGGGGCTGAGAGTTCCATCCCCACCCCACCCACTCAGGAGCCTCGAGCTGCTCAGAGGCCACCTTTCATTTTCTCATAATCCTGGACCATCGTTTAAGGTGTGTCACTGTGTTTTGTGATGAATCATCAATGGCACATTAGATCGATGGATGGGCATCCAAACACTCATTAACCAAAGACCACAAAGAAAAGGAACCTTAACTGGATCTTTGGCAGTATAATGATCTCTCAATTGTTTCCCTGCTTTGTGCCTAGTGGCAAGCTTCACCTTGCCCTGCTCTGGAAACCGAGGACAGGTATTTTGAACAAAAGAAAGAAAAGAGCAAAGCTGGTCTAGTTTGACTTTAGTCCCCTTAGCCTTTAGCAATTTGTGAAGCACATGAATATAGATAGCGCTGTTGCTCATTTGAGCCTGACAGTCCCATGGGTGGTCACACCCAGTAAACCGCTCACCTCCCCCTTTGTATACGCTAATGGAGGTATCTCCTCACCTGAGTTTTGAAGTCTCATACAGGCCATTTTGGGTGCCAGATGCCATGACCCGCACAGCGTAGGGTCTGAAGCCAGGGAAAGCGGTGGGAGATGATGAAAAAACGAAGAAACAAAGACTATTCTTGAAAATTGGGACCAGGAGCTAATGGCCACCTGGAGTCCCAAGCTCTCTTTATTTATAGTGGAAGGCAAACAGCAAGAGGAGGTGGGACAAAAAGTGTTATGGCCTATGTGGCCAGGGCGGAATGTAGTGTGATTTTTTTCGTGATGGGGTGGGGGTTGGATAGCAGGAGAGGAACAGGGAAGGATACATAAAGTAACTGTCTCCTGGGCTGTGCCATCCAGGATCTATAGTATTAGCCAAACAGACACGGTTTGTTTGACTGTCTAATCTATGGAGGAGAAAGGAAGCAGAGAGGAGGTGAAGAACCGTCTTCAGACTTGACCCGTGGCAGTTGAGGCCACTTTTCTATGGTGATGCTTGTGGGCAAAGCACCTCCTACCAGCACTTGTTTACAGCTCTCTCTTTCCACTGGCTCAGGTCGGAATCTACCTGTATTCCACCTGAGCTTCTAAATGTTTTGTCTCATCGAGTCTGCCACCCTGATATTGACTCTTGGGGCCCACATATATGGTTTGCTGTTACTCTGCCACAATCCCAATCACTGGGTAATGTGAGTCGCAGTGTCATGGCACAGTCCAAGAGCCTTTGGAAGGGAAATGGCCCCATGTTATTGTCTAAATCAACTCTTTTCAAGAGTACTGTATAGCCATCCCTCAGTCTCCACAGTGGATCGGTGCCAGGAACCCCATGGATGCCCAAAGTTCCTTGTATAAAATGGGACAATATTTGCATGTAACTTGTGTGCATCCTACTGTATGCTTTAAATCATCTCTGGACTATTTATAATAACTCTTACAGGTACAGTGTAAATGTGAGTAAGTAGCTCTTATACTATATTGTTTAGGTTAGAATGAGAAGGGGAAAAGTCTGTACACATTCAGTACAGACACCATTTATTTTCTGTAATATTTTTGACCCATGGACCACAGGTTCTGTGGATATGGAGGACAAACTATACTCGGCCCTCCCCTCTCTCTACTGCCACAGCACACTGGACTAAGGGTGGGGTTGCTTCTGTTTATTCATGGTATTGTAAACAAAGATAGGGTGAAAAAAATATATATGTAAGTTCACACATGTGCATATATATCTGTGGGATAGATCCTCTAAAGCAGATTGCTGGGCCAGAGAGGACATGAATTTGTAGATTTGATAGCTACTGCCCCAGTTCCCCTGCACTGGGGTTCTAGCAATTTATCCTAAAGGGGTGAGTACCACATAACAGCTGCAGACTCAAAACCAGTATCTTCCTGCTCCATCCAGGGAGGAAGGGAAAGCAGCATGAGAAAGAAAGAAGGATGCAGTAGGTCCCTTCTGCAGTTCACAAACACTTTTGTTTGCAAACAATGTGGTTTACAAACACAAGTGTTTGGCTTTTTTTTTTTTTTCAAACTCTGCATCTGGTGACAAACACGACTGCAGCCATCTTTCCCACACAAACACAAATGTGACCAACTTTCCAAAGTCATAGAACAAATTAAGTTCATGAACCAAGGTACTACTGTATCTGCCAGATCTCTTTTTACACTCCGGGTACTCTCTGCTACAGTTTGAGGCAAAATGTGTTTCTTCAACTTTACAAATGAGGAGGCCGAATCTCAGAAGGTTAAGGAAGTTTACACAGTGTCTCAAGTCAGTGGAGCAGGAGTCTGGTGCCGTGGTTGGCTTTGAGACCCATGTTGGTTTCAGGGGGCCAGTCAGGGGTCCAGGGAGGGTATCTCAGCAAGGCTCCTGTGTCTTCTTGAGGCTGTTTCTATCAACAATCATGAACAGTGGACTCCATTTCCCAAACACTTTATTCTCTTGCTTGCCTTGAACTTCAGGTATCCGAGCTCAGCTTATCTTTCCCACCTCTCAGTTTCCTGCTCCCAGATCTCAATGACTGACCCTCACAAGGGAGTTCTGTGGCTGGAACAGGGTTCTTCCAGGTATGGCTCTCCAAGAAGAGCATCTAGCCACAACTCCAGGTCCCGAACTAGCTGCTCCAGCTCCTGCACTTCCTCCTCTAACTTCTCCAAGAAAACATGCAAGCTCTTCTTCAGCCAGTTCCTGAGGAGCTTTATTGGTTCTTCAGAGGGTTCACTGGTCTGATATTCAAACCCCTGAAAGGTAGACATCAAAGTTTTTTCTTGACATTTTCTACTTGGCTTCTTGGTTTTAGGAAGCTCCCTGGGTCTTTGCACATGTTATTCATTCTGCCTGCAGTACACATCCCAACCTCCTCCACCTGGCCAGCTCCTTTTTGTCTTCCCTGACCAAGCTTGCCAATGATGCTCACCTGGAAAACCTTCTTGGTTCCCATACCTTGTAGCCCCCTCATTACATTCTTAAATATGTTACCTGGGAAGCCACGGGATTCTGGGAGTAGTTACATTCCTTGACTCTTTTGTACATCTCCCAACTTCTTCCTGCAAGAGGCACAAACAGCACCTCTTAATAGGTGGCAATTGAAATAAACACCATTGTTCTTCCCATTGGGAAGAGCAAGTAGGAGAGGGCAGATTGTGGGGGGCCCCTTGGTAGACATCCATCTCCAGAGTCCCCACCTGATCGTGTGCACTTGGCTTATCCCTTCTCAGCTTCCAGAATGCTTACCTGATATCCCTGTGCCCAAGTACAGCACCAAGACCAGCAGTGTGAACAGCATCTGGGGGCAAGAAGAAGAGAAGGGAAGGGCACAGGAGGGTGAGTTCCAGAGCTCTTTTGTCTCCCCTGCTTCCCCAACTGGGCCAGGCACAGGGGAGCTACAAGATGGCTTTAGAGCTTGACTTTATTTCTAGTGATCTAAGATCCATACGCTCACTGAAGAAAATCCCAAACATTGCGGAAATATATGACATGATGATTCACTGGCATTTGTTTTCCCTCTTTTCTCTCTTCTGAAAGAGAAAGCCCAGATCTGCTCTTCTTCCTTGAATAACTATTACATTTCTCACTTTAATCAATCCTTAAAAGGAATTAATTTTATTGCGGCATAATTTCCATACAAAGACATGCACACAAGTTTTATGTACAGTTGGATGAGTTTTGACAAATGTCTATTCTTGCGGAGTAGCACCTCAAGGAAGATCTGGAACTTCGTCACCTTAGAAAGCTTCCTTGTGCCCCTTGTAGTCCATTTTCTTACCTCATCCCACTGGAAGAGCCATTACTGCACTTCCTGTCACTACAGTCACTTTATCCGGTCCACAACTTCATATAAATGAAGTCACATGGTTATATCTGCTTTTGTGTTTGGTTCCTTCTGCTTGACCTGCTGTTTCTGAGATTCCTCCATGTTTTTGTGCTTTCATTTTCTTGATGAGTATTTATACTGTGTGAATATAGTATGGTCTCTTCACCTGTCGATGCACTGTTGGGTTGTTTCTGCTTTTATGCTATGAAAACACATGCGCAAATCTTTGCGTGTACATATGTTCTCATTGCTTTTGGGTTAATATCCAGATAGGAAATCTGGGTCATATGGTGTTTGCTTAATCTTATAAGACTCTGCCAAACTGTTTTCAAGGTATATTTATATTCCTGCTAGCAATTTGTAAGAGTTCTAGGTGCTCTACATCCTTGTCAACACTTCATATTGTCAATCTTAATTTTAGGCATTCCATTGCTTGTGTAAAGACATCTCAATCTATTCTTATATCCATTTACCTAGTGGCTAATGATGTTGAGCATTTTGTCATGCATCTATTGATTCATAATTTACATACTTTTTTGTTATGTGTGTATTAAAATCTCATTTTTATTGCTATTTGTCTTGTTTAGATGTTAATAGTTTTTTATGTATTCAGCGTATAAGTTATTTGATAGATATTTGTATTGTGAATATTTTCTCCATCTCTGTGGCTTGTCTTTTCATTTTCTTGTTAGTGTCTTGAAGATCAAAAGATTTCAGTTTTGGGTTTTTTGTTTTTTGTTTTTGTTTTTTTTTGCACTGGGTATTCAAACTCAGGACCTTGTGCTTGTGAGGCAGGCAGCAGAACCACTGAGCTAAAATCCCTGGCCCCCAAAAGATTTCAGTTTCTGTTTGTTGTTTTTTGTTTGTTTGTTTGTTTTTGGTGCTGGGGATCGAACTCGGGTCCTTGCGCTTGTGAGGCAGGCCACCGAACTGCTCAGCTAAATCCCCAGCCCAAGATTTCAGTTTTGATGAAGTTCACTTAACAAAATTTTTCCTTTCATCATGCTTTTTGTGTGAAGTTAAAAATTTTGTGTATTTCAGTCATGATTCTTCCTGTTTTTTTTAGACATTTTTTGTTTTAGATTTTACATTGAGATGTACAATTCATTTAATTTTTAATATGTAATATGAAGAAGGGCTTGAGATATTTTTTCATACAAATATCTAGTTGTTTTAGTTTTATTTCTATAAAAATTCTAATTTTTCCTCACTGAATTACATTGTGGTGTCTTTGTAAAAATATGTCTATTATGTGTTCTATTTCTGGATTTTATTGTGTTTTACTGCTTTACATTGTAGCTATGAGGTATGATCAAAATTATGGTGAGGGCTGGGGATTCAGCTCAGTGATTCTGCGCCTGCCTCACAAGTGTGAGGACCTGAGTTCAATCCCTGGTACCAAAAAAAAAAAAAAAATGGTGAATGTTAAAATTTTAAAAATTACAGTAAAAGGACACATTGCCATGAATCCTCTCCAAAGTATACTTCTTAGTTTGAACATGTATCCCATTGTTCTCACTGCTTTCTGAAGCAATTCTGGAAGTCCTCTTTTGTGGGTATTTTTTCATGGGTGCCTTTATGAACTTAATTCCAAATGTTTATAGCAGTTTCTGTCAAACAAAAAATTATGGTGTGTCCTCATCCATCTTATTCACCAGACCTGTCACTGTGGGATTTCTTCCTATGTCAAAATGATAACAAAAGGAAAAGTTTTGAGTCAATTCAGGATATCGAGGCAGTTATGACAGTACAACTAAAGACACTCATGAAACAAGACTCCCAGAAATGTTTCAGAAAGTGGCAAGAATGACATAATAATTATGTTCTAACCAAGGGGAAGTATTTTGAGGAAGATGAATGACTGTCTTTTAGTATAATAAATTTTTAAAAATTAAGTATTCACTGTAGTTTTTGATCACAGGGTGTATGCTCGCATCAATACTAAATTTGTATTAAACTGTATATGCTAGCACTCACCATTCATTGGATGCCTTGAAGAATAGAAATGTGCTTTCTCTCAGTTCTGGAGGCTGGAAGTTGATATCAAGATGCTGGTGGGCTGGTGAGGCCTGTTTTACTGCGTTACCACATTGAGTTTTCCTCTGGTTTGCACATCTCTGCTCTCTCTTCTTAAAAGCATATCAGTATTATGGGGCTATTGCACATCCTCCTTTTACTTCCTTAATGGCTTTATCCATAAATATAGTTTCTTTGGGGCTAGGGCTTCAACATATGAAGTTTAGGGGACACAATTCTGGCCATAACGATTATATGATAACTGTTTTATTGCATTGATTGTATATTTATGTATCTATTTTATATAATACACAGTGTCTAGATTACTATTGTTTCATAGCAATGCTTGAAATAAGTCTGTAATTTTTTGAACTTTGTTATTTTTCAAATTTAAGTTTTGCATGCTTTGCATTTTCATATGTGTGTGTGTGTGTGTGTGTATATATATATATATACATATATATGTATGTATGTATTTCACAGTCTTCTTTTAAAATTTCTATTAGAAAAAAACTGCTGAGATTTTGATTGGTACTACCTTAACTATATAGATTAATTTAATAAGCAGAAACTATTGTATAGAGGCCTTACACATCTTTCCAAAGTATTGCATGTTTTTGATGGTATTATAAATGCAAATTTCAAATTTCACTTTCCAATTGTTTTTCGTCTACAGAAATCAAATTGAATTAGTGTCTTATGATTTAACTCAAAGGTTAAGGGTTGCAATAAATTGCCAAAGGTTGCAATTTATTGAATTTTTGCATTAAATTCATACATGTTACCTAGAAAAATTCAAGGAACAAGAATTTGAAGAGAACAATTTTTATTATTTTCCATTGTTATATGCTGCCCCAAAAATAGACCAGTAGGCATAAAATAATTAATTCAAATAGTATTTTTGTAGAGTTTAGGATTTTGTATGTAGAAAATTTGGGTGTCTATGAGGAAAGTTTTGTTTAATTCTTTTCAGGTTTCCTTCAAGCAAACCAGCCTTTCCCCCCTTGATTTGTATATTGATTAGAACCATCAATAAATTATAAATAAGTGATAAAACCGAATAACTTCCTCTTTTTCAATTTGAAAAAATAAGTGAAAGAGGAAAATAGTTAAATTTCACCATAAAATGTTGGCTTAGTTATAGATGTTTCATTGTCTTCTTTAATAAGGTAAAAATAGTTTCCTTTTATTCCTAGTTCTCTGGGAAGTTTAACATGAATGAATGAATGATGAATTAGGGAAATGCTTTTTCTGTATCCACCAAGATATTATGTAAGTGGCCCCTTATTGTGGTAAATTGCCTTAGTTGACTTTTGAATAATGAACCAACCTTGCATTCCTTCAATAGACTCTCTTTGTTCGCAATGTGTGAGTCCTTTCATATACAATTGTTCCTCAGTATCCACAGGGGATTGGCTCCAAGATGGCCTGTGGACACCAAAGCCCATAGGCGCTCAAGTCCTTTATATAGAATCCTATGGCATTTAGTATATGTGCTACCAAAGTGAGTACATATAGCATTTATATTTAACCTACATACCTCCTCCTCCTGTATATTTAAATCATCTCTCAATTACTTATCATGCTTAATACAATGAAAATACTGTGTAATTATTGTTTTATTATACTGTTTAGGAAATAAGGACAAGAAAAAAAATCCATGTGTTCAGTACAGATGCAACAGTTATAGGCCTAACTACACATTACATGTCAACAAAAACATAACTTTTGTGGGGAATTATTTGACCTACTAGTTAAATCCCCAGATGTAGAACCTACAGATATGGAAGGTAGACTACACTGCTGGATTCTATTTGCTACTATTGTGTTAAGATTTGTTTTTTTGTTTTTGTTTGTTTGTTTGTATCTGCATTTAAAGATTGGGCTTTTTTTCCTATAAGGTTGACAAGTTTGATAATCAAAGTTATGTTGTCCCTTAAAATGAGTTGGTAAGAATTTCTTCATTCTCCATATTTTATGGCAGAATTTGTATAAGATTGGTATTGCTTTTTGCCCAAATGAATAGTTATTAACCCTTTTTAAAAATTTTTTGAGACAGGGTGTCACTATGTACTTGAGACTTACTTGGAACTCACTATGTAGCCCAGCCTGGCCTCAAACTCACAGCAATTCTCCTGCCTCAGCCTCCTGAGTGCTGGGATTACAGCTGTGTGCCACCACGCCTGGCAACACTTTCTACTTCCTTTTGAGTCCATTTATATATATTCATTCAATACCTGTTTTGCACTAAATACCATTTCAGACATGGGGGATTTAGCAGGAAACAAAAAGCCCCAGCCTTCCTGGAAATACAGACCTTCTGCTCTTATTGCTGAGAATTAAATGAGAGAGTATTGGTAATGGCTTGGGGAAGAAGCCCCCAAACCTACATGCTGTGCTTCACCAGGTTGGGATCAGGGAAAGTCAGTGGAAGGCCTGTTCCTACAGTCTTACAGTCTGCTCGAGTGGTCAAGAGGATTTAGGAGGAAAACAGCATCACTGGACCTGGCCTTACCTGCTTCTTGTCCTCATAGTGGCTGCCCCTTCTCTGTTCACACAGCTCAGCTGCCACCCTTGCCCTGCCATCCATCTGTTGGAATTCCATGTCCTCAGGTCAGGCTGCCTGAGTGCAGCAAGGTGTTCGCAGTGGACAGGTAAATGGGCCTTCTCACCTCTGGTCACCTCTCAACCATGAATTCTGATGTCACAGAAGGTAGGGGACAGCAAAGCTCCAACTGCCCATTATCCTGAATTTCAACACCTTCTTTCACTTTTCCATGTTTATGTAGAAAATAATGATTGCCAAAAGATTTTACTTTAGGATTTTATTTTTACGATCTCTTTCCTTCTATATTTACAAGTTTTTAGTAACATGTGAGCTAAAAATAAGAAGTAAAAAAGTTACTTTTAATGAAAAATTTCCTGGAGATTCATAAGCTGTTATAAGAAATAGTACAGAGATTTTGTGTATCATTTTTCCAACTTTTCTCAATAGTAACATCTTTTGTCACTGTAGGATGACATGAAAACCAGGATATTGATAGACTCTTACCAAAACTTACACTGTTTAATTTGTACTCACTTGTGTGTGCATTTTAGACACACATTTTAGACACATTTTTGTCACCGCGGTAGTTTTATAAAACCTATCGTAACAGTCAAGATATCGAATCCCCGAAGTACAGGAGTTTCTGTTACCCCCTTGATGCCTGTTGCCCCCCCTGACCCAACCCACTGTCCCTAACTCCTAAAAACCACACACCTGTTCTCCATTTCCAAAATGGTGTCATTTCACATTGTTGTATAAATGCAACCAAACACTATGTAACATTTGGGGACCAGTCTTACAAAAACAAACACACAGTTGTTCCTTGTCATTCACAAAGAGATTGGTCCCAGGACCCCTGAAGATACCAAAGTTCAAGAATGCTCAAATCCTTAGCATAAAATGGTGCAGTATGTGCGCATAACCCACATCCATCCTCCTGTACATTTTCAATGATCTCTAGATTACTGATAATACCTAGTAAATGCTATGTAACTAGCTGTTGGATTGTTTTTTAGGGGGACAATGACATGAAAAAAGTTGGTACATGATCAGTGTGACAAAATTTTTTCAAATAATTTTGATTTATGACTGGAGCTGATTGATACACAGAACCCGTTGATGTAGAAAACTGACTTAGTGTAATTCTCAGTGGATTCATCCAGGTTGTTTCATGCATTAGTCATTTGCTCATTTTTACCACTGGATACCATTGCATGACATACATGCATTACATTTTGCTTAACCAGTCACCCTCAAAGTATATCTTCAAAACATGTTAAAAATCTTGTCTTTTTATTCTCTTCACATGGGCCATTGCAGAGATAATTTTAATTATTTTGTTTTATGAGTCGAGCTTTTCCATATCCAGTTGAAGAACTCTTTACCTAGACCTTGTTCTTAAAGATTTATCTTTTGAAAAAAAGTTTTATAGTTTTATGCCTTACATTCTCATTCATAATTCATTTGGAATTAATTTTCATGTAAAGTTAATTTCTTTTGGCCTGTGGATATCCAATTGCTCCAGCACCACCTGTTGAAAAGCCTATGGGTAGAGACCTCACAACCTGAACCTTAAAGTGGATCTGGTGCCCAGCCTTTGGGTTATGGAAGAAAAACCCATATTTGTAGCAAGGATGGCACACTCAGATGCACTGATGTTTTGAAAAACTAATAAAATGAGAGGAGTAGACTGGGTGGAAGATAACAGCACAGTAAGGACCAAGGCAAGATTATAGCATATATTTAGAATACCCAGCCAACTGTTGGCATGGAAATGTAGGGTTCATGCCATCTTTTATGCGAATTCTCCTGACTCATACTGCTGGCATCAAATCGAACTTCAGAAAAAAAAAATACACCGTGTGGGTTGAATACAGATAGTCTGTGAACTCTGATTTACTGTGTGTCTGCTGTGTGACAGGCACCTTGCTGGTCCCAAACATAGCTTGACCGTAATCCTAAGAATGGGCCCCACATGCGGGAGCCATAGATCTCATATGGCTTTCTAAAATAAGAAAAGGCAAATTCTGGGGGAATGGAAAAAAGGAACTTCTGGAGCTAATGGGGAGGCTGACAATTTAGCGAGGTAACTGTGACTGGAACCCTAGGTGAAGGTACTCCACAGGCACGGTCTGAACTCAGAACTGCATACTAGGGGCAAATGTGCCAGGAAAGAACTCTAAGCTATCAAGGTCTCTGTAACATTTCCACAAATGGGATGGTTTAAAATGAAGAGATATTAACTTTCTTACGCTTCTGGAGACAAATCCAAGGTCAGCGGCACTGGGCTAAGCTATTGTGGAATCAGCCTGGAGGTACTAGGAGGGAATTCTTTTCTTGCTCCTTCCAGCTTCTGGTGGCTGCCGGCATTCCTTGGCTTTTGGCAACATCACTCTAACCTCTGCTTCTTTGGTCACATTGTGTCTCCTCTTGTGTGTGTGAGCTCACCCTGTGGTTCTCTTATAAAGATACCTGGGATTGTGTTAAGGCCCACTGGATAATCCAAGATCCTCTTCTCAACTCAAAATTCTTAATTTAATGACACCCATACAGTTCTCTTTTACGATATCAGGTAATATTCTCAGGTCCCAGGGATTAGGATGTGGATACCTTCTGGGGAACTCTTGTAGCTTACCATGATATCTTGGGGCAAGTCCCTGAAGATTCAGAGCTCTTGGCAGGTATGGCTCTTAGGCTAAGCCTTGTCCCAGGCCTGCTTCTGAGCTGTCGAAGAGGAGAGGAAGATGCGGGCTTCCTCCAGTGGGAGGCAGGCAGCACCACCCACCATCACCAGGGATCATGAGAAGAGCAGTTATCTCCAGGGACAGAGGCACTGGGTTGTGAGTGAACTATGGCTTACTTTTCCTCCCAGCCCCACTGACATAGAGCTAGCTCTGAGAGGCTGGAAGATGTGTAAACTATGAGGGCCAAGAGGCCAGGGACCATCTCCCTTGTGTCCTCTGTAAATTTAGCATGATTACTGACACTTAGTAGGTACTCAGTATTTATTAGCAGGTTGTTGCCTCCCAGCTAGTCTATTTTCTCTCTCCTGTTAATGCAGCCAGTGCCCCAGGGATGTCAGACCAGCTGAGGGGACAGATGTATACATTTACACACAGCCTTGCCATCTGCCTGCCTGCTGGGGACACGGGCCACACCAAAAATACCCTTCTTTATGCTCCATTAATCAGAAAGCTAAAAGAACTGTGAACAGTGGACCAAAAAGGGAAAAAAAAAGTGGGATTAATTTATGAGGCGTTTTGCTGCCTGGATGGCTCATTGCATCCCTGTCCTGGCAACGCTGCTCTGTAATGTGCTTCTAGACTTACTGTACTTCAACATCCAGGGGCTCTTTTGTAACATGCCAAATATTCTGCCGTTATTGTTCTAGGCACCTCCTGTTGGTCATTGGGCTAATTTATTTCAGTCGGAATTTCAGGACCAGACACAACTCTTATTACTCACTGCTTCGGAGAGGGAATAAAAGAGCAATTGATATTTGGAAAAATGAAAAATATGTCCAGAACATTTTGGGCCCCAAAGCCAAGAAGGGAAAAAAAAGGCTGTGTAGAGGGGAGCTAGAGGGAAAAGTCAGCAGCCTCACCTAGCCATGTACTCTGTCATGGGCCGTCTCGGAGACACAGAGTCTAGAAGGTCTACAGACAGATGAATCAATGACAGGGCACTGAGAAGTCTTCAGACACCTGGGTCCTTCTGTACATGACTTCAGCTGCCACCTGCAGGAGCAGGAGTGGAAAAGATTGCAGTGTGGAGTACTCCTCTCAATGACCTGAGTGTGTGAAAGCTGGTCTCAGGTTGGAGGGTGAGGGAGAGATCCCAGTGTGCTTGTTTCATTCCTATGGCCACTTGCTCCTGAATCCAAGACTCTTCAGGGAAAATTAACTTAGGCATAGGATTCTGGGATGTGACGGTCCAGAGGCACTTGCTTTCAGGAACTCTATGATGCTAAGGAGCAACAGGAGTCTGCTAGAGGGTCAGTGGGGTTATTATGAGGCAGACAGCTTCTTTGCCATGTAAAATTCTTTGCCTGGTGTGTGCATGTGAAATCTATGACTTTGGTGTTCCTGGAAGTTCTGGGACTTTGGCAGACAGTGGCTTCTGCAGATGCACAACAGGGAGGGATGATTTGGCTCTGTGCTGGCCAACAGAAGCCCGGGGTGATGTGTGCAGAAAGGGCTGTCTACATGTATGCCAGGCTTTCTGTGGTAGAGTCATTGCTTAGCCAGGCAGTCTACCCATGAGACCCTGACCACACACTGCACCTTACAGTCTCCTTATGTGTGAGGCAGGCATTAAAGTATCTGACTTCCAGGGTTGTTGTAAGGAAAAGAAAAATCATACATAAAGTTTTGGACCATAGTGATGATCGTATCTATCTGTCTTTATTGTACATTTAATTTCAAGCATCCGTGTGTTCCTTCTCACATGAAATCATGGTGACAACTCAATGAAGGAAAAACCCATGCTCCTTCTACTTCACAGGCAGAAAACTGAGGTAAGAGAGATTCAGAGTCTCCTCTGAATCCAGACTCCAGAGTCTGAATTCTTAACATCTTTTGCCTTCCATGAAGATTCCGGTTTTATGGAGAAGCACTTGGAGCAAGGGCACTTGGTCAAGGACTGTCTTCTGAGAAGTCCAACTGCTCCTCTTCCCAGCACCACAGGGGGACTGCCATCTCTGATTGAGACAAACTGAAGATGTACAAGAACACAGTGAGCCACAAAGATTCTGTAAACAGCAGGATTCCCCTCAGAGTGGCAAGAAGCCTATTGCAGGAGAGGAGCGTGACAGCCAAGCTTAGGCGAGAGGCACTCAGCAAGAGCAGTGCTGTTGCTGCATGCTCGCAATGTTTCTGCCCTTCTCTTGCTGTGTACATTTGGATTGGAGTAAAGAAGATGGAAGGGCTCATTGGGTGGGCAGACCCCATGGAGGTGCCTCCAGAGCTTGGCATTCCCGGCACACAGAGAGCCTTTGGTGTCTATTTGTCAGGAGAATGTGGCCAAAGTTGAGTGTCTGGGCTTGGCAATCTGCCTTCTGAGGTTGAAATGGCTTCAAAATGAGATCAAAACATCCGTGTCTGGGACGTTTCTGGGCTCAGA